AGCAAGTTGCACATGGGGAAAAAAATGCGCCTGATTTAAATGTCACACCTGAACGCTCACATCCTTTTAATTATGTTTGAAATTATGAACATTGCTCAACATCATGAGAATTAAACCTTATTTTCAATAAGCAATCCTGAAAAATATTTGGGGGTGCTTAACTTTTTTCCAGGTGTATATATATATAAGGGATTGAAACAACATGCTTTGATTATTTAACTTTTGATTGTTTTCATTCAATAAAGATTGTTGATTTTTTGCACTTTTTGCATACTATCTCTTTCTTTGTTCTGGAATCAGTCAGAGTCTAAGAAAGACAAAACATGCTCCATAGTATATTATCTGCTGGACTTCCAGTTTTTACAGGCCATATTCATTTACTCTGAGTAATATCAATGTATTTGAGGATATCAAAGGTGTGATCTTGAAAATATTTGGTTTAAAACATTTCATTTGTTATTGTCTACACCCTTGCAATTGACTTTTTGGTTTATGATGCATATTAATAACCTTCAAAAGATACAACCTTGAAACCTCAATGGTATTGTCACAAGACAGACCCTCAATAACCTTAATCCATACCACCAACAATTATTTTCCTCACTCTTGAAATCATCCTATATATATTTAGAGACTTTGGAATCACAGAAAAATTAAAAATATTAACACTCTGTCTTGAATAAAAGTGAATACAATTTATATTTTCTTGTCATATATCTAAAAACTTCTTGCACTTTGTACAATTATCATTTTACACTTGAACAGAAATAAAATTGAAATAATTTACATTGGTCATAATCTAAGTTACATACTGTAAATACAACTACATTCTTCTGATGCAATGGGAGAAATATAATAATGAGCTGACAATTCCACTTAATGATGTTTACAAATAAAATTATATCTTTGATTTTAGAGTGGAATTCCAAATTTACTTCTCAACATATGAAACTACAAGTACCTTTTTATAACAAGTTTAATTTCTCAATTTAGCCCTACATGTAAATCCTCCGCTATACTGATATATAGCTACATACACAGTACAATACACATGTACAAAAAGTTATCTTTACAAAGCACGGTCTATTTAGAAAAACTAATCTCAGCAAGAAACTCGTCTTAAATGGATTTTCTTTTACTTAAAACCACATCTTTCAACATTATTTACAGATGATAAAAAAATGTTTCTATTATACTCAAACAACCCTTTAATTATTAACTTGTTTTTATACAATTTACTACAAATGGAGATCCACATACTGCACCATATTGGGTACTTTCATGCTTTTGCCTGTTCCAACACTCAGTGTAAAGAACTGACCAAACAAAATTTGATACGATCACTCACTTTTTTTACATAAAATATATAGAAAATCTCATGCAGCAATTAGTGGGATTAGCTGTAATATTGATGGTAGTTTTTGTTTTTTACATTTTTCTGTGTGACTCGTATGTTATTAGGGATAGTGTAGCCATCAGAGTCATGGATCCACTAGCAATTTGTTACATAAATAGTTTATAAAAAGAGATTATTCTAAGGTCAACTGATTACAAAATAATTTGCTAATGTGTAAAAAAGCGAATACATCATAAAGTTTTCCAGAATCACTTGTTTCTGAGTTTTTACCCTTTTGTTGTTATTTTATGGTTTATAAGTTGTATAAAAGATTTTTTTATAAAATGTATTGAGATGCACACATTTTTTTAGAGTAGTGGGGTTAAGGGCACAATCTAATATTAATAACATGATATATTTTAATCCCCTTATTTGAATCAACTACCTTGCTTACTTACCTGCCACAGAACAAAAGGATAGGGTACGTAGTGTACGTTTTAGCAGCAAGGGCCACTATTCCCACTAATACAACAGGATCATTGGCATCATACGACTCCAAGATATCACTAGTGACAAGGGAACCAAAGGTTAGATACCCAAAGGTGGCAGCAACAGTGTAGGTAAACATGCAGATCAAGATTGCCACAATTACGGTCTTCAGGAAAACACTAACTCTTCGGTCTTTCAGACAAGAATACACAGGAACACAACTAACATGGCACTGAAATTGTTTTAATATTTCATTACAGTATAATTACATTTATGAATGTTTCATTGTAGATTTTTCGAGATTATATTCTGAAATGCCAAGAAATAGTAAAATAAAAATTGAATAAGGCTTACTATCAAGTTAATTTTGATCTCACTCTGAAATCTTGTTAAATATAAGTATTTTGAGTTTAAATAAAGATATTCACAACACAAAATAGTATGTTTGTATTTTATTTCTTAGGTATAGTTGTTTTATATGAATATTTTCTATTAAAAATTATCACAAAAGTTTAATATTAATTGTGCTTAAATTTAAAAATCCAAGAACAAAAATTGCAATATATTATTTCAGTATACTATTGTGAAAAATAGCAACCACTAACTTCAAAAAATTGTATTTAGAGTTCAATGTTTTTAAATATTCAAGATAAACATATTCCTTATAGAAAGAAAAGGGTGGCTGTAAGTAAAAAACCAGGTTGGCAAAAAGGGTCTAAGGGATAAAATTAAAGAAAAGCATCACAACTTTAAGAAATTTAAATTGACTGGTATGACAGGAGATTTAGAAGATTATAGAAGATCAAGAGAGTTGGTCAAACAAGAAATTAGGACATAAAAAATGAATGAAAAAAAGTTGGCTGAAAATGTAAAAATTAACAGTAATGATTTCTTTAAGTACATTAAGAGTAAGCAAAATGAGGATGGCAATAGGACCTTTGAAGGATGATAAAGGAAGTCTTGTATCTGATGATTATGAGATGTCTAGGATATTAAATTCTGTTTTTTATCCAGTTTTTACTAATGAAGATTTAAGCAATATTCCTTATCTTGAGCAGTTGATAGATAGAAACAAGATATAATAAGATGACCACATTAATTCTGAGCTTGTTCAGAAAACAATTTGGAAGTTTAAAGAACAATAAAGCTCCTGGTCCAGATAATATTTCCCAAAGAGTTTTGAAAGAGGTTAAGGATTGGTTATGTCAGCCACTTACAACTATTTTTTGTAAGTCCTTGAATAGTGGGCATGTGCCAAAGGATAGGAAATTGGCTAATGTTACTCTTCTTTTCAAGAGAGGTGATAGAAATTTTTCCAGTAATTATAGACCCATTAGTCTTACATCAGTTGTCGGAAAAGTGTTGGAAAGTTTGATAAAAGATTCTTGGCAAAGTCATTTAACAAAGTTTACAATTTTATTGAATAGTCAACATGGTTTAAATAACGGAAAATCTTCCCTTACAGATCTTTTGACATTCTTTGAAAAGGTTACTGCTTACGTAGATGAGGGTAAGGGTGTAGATTTGATGTATCTGGATTTTTAGAAAGCATTTGACAAGGTGCCACATAAAAAAAGGCTTTTAAAAAATTCTCTATAGATGTGGGGGTTAAGTTAGCTAATTGGATAGAAGAATGGCTGGATGGAAGAAAGTAGAAGGTTACTATAAATAAAGTTCAGTCAAACTGGAATAATGTCATGAGTGGGGTACTTCAGGGCTCAGTCTTAAGACCTTTGCTCTTTCTGATTTACATCAATGACATATATAAAGGAATGGTCAATAAATTACCTAAATTTGCTGATAATATTAAGGTCTTGGGTGTTGCTGGCTATGAGGAGGATGCTGCTGATTTACAAAAGGATTTAGATCATTTAGTGAGTGAGACAAATAAATGGCAGATGAGTTTTAATTATAATAAATTCAAAATAATGCATGTGAGTTATCATAATTTGAATCATAAGTATAAGTTAGATGAAATTAACCTTAAAGTATTAAGAAAAAAAGGATC